CCTGCTGAGAATTTTTTTATGCTTTTGTATGTTTTTGCATACTTAGTCATTCCCACAAAGAATATTCCAATGGTTGCAGAAAAACCTTGACACAATTAAATATACAGCAAAAGTAAAGGCAGAAATATTGTGATGAAATGAGGAGCATTTAAACAAGCGTAGATAATATCAAGCTATCAAAAGTACACAAGCAGAATTTCAACTGAGAACAGGAGTGGAGTCAAGTCAAATGGATGAGATTTACCCTAGAATGTGTCTTCGATAAGTGTAGGCTTTAAAAATGCACAACCTGAAAAATAGCTTAAATATTAGAGCTTTTATCTGTGCTAAATTGTGGCTCCAAGTATCTGAGTCATCTGGCTTGTAACAGGTGTAATTGTTTGTGTGGTTGTCGTGTTCTGTATCTGCTCTCCCCACTCCTGACAAACAGTAGAATCACCGCTAAGCTTCAGTGAGAGACAACAAGAGCTTTGACCTTAGGATCTGTCATTGTTCCTTTGTTATCTCTGTGCATTATGGAACTGCTTCATTTTAATTCATTTGATTTCTGTTTATTTCTTCTGTGGCAGTCCCAGGAGCTTGTATTCACCGGCTTTTTGTTGGAGCGTATGAATTGTTAGTTTGAAAGACCCACCGTTTCTTTCTGGTAGAATTGCAGCCCAGATTGAATATATCTTGCTATTAATTAGAGATTGGCCCAAACCAAAGACATCTGTTTGATCCCTCCCTCCCTCTGGAATCTTTTCTTGCCTGGAAAAAATTGCTCAGTGCTGACTGGAGGATTGACCATTGTGTTGTAGAGAAACTTTTGTGGTTTCCAAATGTGTTTCATTCTCTTCTGGAATTAAACCAAAAAATCCTTCTAAGCGTCTGTGAACCTTCTGCATGTAAAGGATTTCTCTCCTTCTCTCAAGTTCACTCTTGCCTATAAATCCATCTCACTGAGACCTCTGTCAAACCCCATATTTTTTTATGTGAAAAGTTTTGGTTTCAAGAACACAAAGCTTTTATCAGTTTGCCGCTAACTTCCAAACTGCTGATCTGATGAAAGTGGATTGGGAGAGATGCAGATTTGCAACCCCCCATTGCAGTGTGTGTTAGCAATGTTAGACTAAAGAAAATGTTCTGGTTTACTGCCTACTAATATTCAATATGCTGGTTTCTTACGTATGTTGAAACATGGATGAGAAAAAGTCATAAGTTTGGGCAAGAAAAGAACAAAAACCAACCAGTAAAAAGTTTTGGAACTTAGATTGGTATGTGGCCAATCAATCTCCTTGCTTTATCTAGTACTTGATTAATGGCTTTCAGGTAGGTATTAGATTGGAGAAGGTGGAAAGGGAGGTGTACTGCTGATGCAATGGGATGTTTTCCGTGTATGAGCTTTCAGCCAGCAGTGTTACTCCGTGGTACCTGTGTCAGATTGTTTTGTAATTGTGGCTAACAGTATTGATCTCTGGTAATACATTGCTTTTGAGAAAAACTGAGGGGCATGCTAAGCAAACGTTAGAGTTGTCTTTCTGTTTCCTTTTATCTTTGGCCTGCAGTGGTGGAAAGCCGAGGAGGGATCATGGACAGCATACAGAGATTTTCAAACCTGCCAACGTACCTCCCTGCGAGCTATCACATCTGCAATGCTGATGTTTTCTTCTTCCTCAAAGAAGCCAACCAGGATATCATGAGGAACTCCAGTTTGCAGTCTAGGGTGGATTCATTCTTTATATACAAAGCCAAACTGCCACCTGTCCTAAATGCCACATATGGACCCTTTTCTGTTGAACAGGCTGTTCCCTCGGACCTCATGCTGACTTCTGCATCTTTTGGTTTCACAAATAAATTCACTTTTAATTGGAAATTAAAATCTCACATAATTGACAGCTCAATCTATTCCAACAAACCTAAAATACAAACCTTGTTCTATATTGTGGGGAAGGACTGGGATGACTTTAATTCTGCGGAGAGGTTGCCTTGCGTGAAGATGTTTGCTTTCCTCGAGTCTAGAGAAGTTGTGGCCAGCTGTAGATTGACAGGTCATCTAGGATTATGTGTTGCGGAGCTGGAATTATCTCCTAGCTGGTTCAGCTCCCCTCCACCCCTGGTTTCAGAGGAAACAGCCTCCCTGGAAGGGATTACTGTGGAGCTCTTCTATAAGATTTATACAGCAGATGGGGAATGTTCTCCAGAGGATGCAAAATGGGAAAACAATATCCATGCAGGTCAAGATAATGAACACAAGGCTTTGTCAGCTATGGAGAGGATTGGTAGCATCATTGTTTACCCAAATCAAGACAAATTAAAACAGTCTTCACTGAGGCTAGATGAAAATGTCGTTATTCGCTTACCACTCAACCCGGTCAGAGAAGGTGATGTTGTGACCTTTCATGTTTCCCTGGCTGATGACTCTCTAGCAGACCAGTTTGTATTAAGGTAAGAGAATTTTTAAAGTGCTGTATGCTAACCAGTCTACAAATAGGGACAAATCACTGTCAGGTGTAATTTCTTTGGTTACATTCAGTGTTTTCCTGAGAGAACTTAAGCATTTCCTCTCCAACTGGAGACTATAAATAGTCTTGAATTATCTGTGTGGTTGACACTTTTTAGAACATAGGAATTGATTTTAAAGTATGAGCTATAAATGTTTGTATGATTATTTTTTTGTTTTAATTCTATTTGCTTCTAGTCATAATTCTGCCTCTTAAATTATGCCTCTGTAAGTCAGCCAGGGTAACTGCTGCAATCCATTTTGCTAGACAGTTTGCAGGAGGGTTTTCTCTTTCTTCGGTGAAGCTTCCTCTCTTTTTATCAACTTTCTTATCATCTTTCCAAAGTACATGGGATATATCTCGCACAGGTCATATGTGGTGAGGAACTATTTTGTTGCATTGTACAGAGGGGAGCTGAGAGGTGAGAAAATGAGACGTGCCTCAGCTTGTGTAGGAAGTCTTTGGCAGAACCAGGATATGGATCCAAACTTTGCAAATCGTCGTCAGTTTTTCTGTAGCGCAGCCCATCCTGCTTCCTTAAGCTTTTGACTGTTGCGTGGCCCATTTTTTTTTAAAGTTTTGAGACTTTCTGGTGACCTTTACTTGTGAATCTGCCTGTAATAGGAGAATTCAGGCTTTTCTAACCACCCTGAGGGTTAGTGCTGCATATTTGTTATGTCCTTAGCTGTCAGACTGTGGGTTCAGAGCTGCATAGAGACCAAATTCAGAGAGAAATGTGAGCCAGACTGGGGGAATAAAAGGGCCAAAAGGTAATTGGAAAGTGTCATATGTTGTGAGAATGGGGGACACTTGGGAAAGGAGTTGCAGCCCGCTCTAGCAAACCTCAAAACAGATTTGTGCCTTACTTCTAACTTTTTGATCCGAGAACGATGGGAGCAGAAGATGACAGAAGTGCACTTTGGGGACAGATGTTGAGAAAAGAGACAGCAAACCTTATGCAGCACTTTCAAAGCATTCAACGTTTGTGAAATAGCACATGCATATTAATAAACTTACAGATTGCTGCGTGAATCAGGACAAGTGGTTCATAGCCCAGTGCACAGGCAGATGGAAAGAAATGGTCCACAATATCCCAAGCACTTCCATTTACTCAGGGTGGGGGGAAAATGTGTGAGAAATATCATAGAGTTTAACCAGACTTTAAGAGGTTTGGGTCAGGAAGGGTCTACCTATAAACCCACCTTATTCTTGCCTTTACCTGGCTTTACTGGTTTTTCTTCATTAAATATGGGTTTGGCCAGCATCTCACTGTCAGTAGATGGACCAACCTCACAGAGCTGTCAGGTTTCGGCGTTTGTGTATTGATCCTTGGTGCTATAGCAGAGAGATTATGGAATTTGCCTAAGGCTCTGCAAGGATTTAACAGCAGCTCTTAATTCTCAGTTTTTTGTTCTCTTTACCACACCACAGATAAAATTCCTAGGTATTAGAGACAACTTAAGATGAGGATTTTTTTTTCCATTGGAATTTCTAAAATAACATTTACCTTGTAACAAATGATGTGAGGGTAGAGTTTTGATATTTCTGCTGGCTAGGAAAGCACCAAAAACTTCTTGCAGAGATAGTTTTGATATGCTGTCTTTCAAAAGCAAAATAGTTTATGGAAGCGCTGAGCACAGTAACTAACCTGGGGTTTCAAGGAAGCAGAAAGAGAGGGAGTCAAGAGCCTCCAAACTGGGGACCCCCAGGATGAGCCACAAGAGCCTGGCCACCACCGAGACCCTTGTCTTCTCCCACAGGACCCCATGACTTGCGTGTCTCCAGCCGTCAGGCGGGAGTCACTTTGTGGTGCCCTCCCGACACGCGGAGCCTGCATCTCAGCACTCCTGAGCTGCTGGGAAGGCAGTCAGGTTTCCATGGGGATTTCCTCTTTTGAAAAGTGTGCGGAATGGGTTCATCTCCAGGAGATGTTTCTGTTAAAATAAATCAGCATGTTTTACGTGCCCAGAAATATTTCCTCGGAAAATTCACTATCGGCTCTATGTAGTCTAGCCTGTCTGGTCTTTTATTTGGCTTTGCTTGAATTGTGCTTTTCATCAGAGAAACTGCAAGTATTTTTAGTTAAGCTTCAGCTGAATGCTGAAAGTAAGAGGCAAAATGCAATTCTGCTGATGGTTCACCTGTCCTCCAGGATGGAGAGAGCATCAGCAACTGTTGCTATGATTATTGCGAATGACATACGTGGGGCCCATGGAGAGATTATTCACCTGAAGTTTACACAGTAGGCAGGGAATTATGCCGAGGGAAATACAATCACTGTAGTGCCTGCATCTAATTTATGCAGTTTCCCTCACCGGCTTTCCCTGTTTTTCAGCTCAATGCTAATGCCCGTAAAACCCCAGAAGGTTTTTATATACATAGAATTTCCGTGCATTATAGCCAGAGAAGAATACATTGAAGTGAATGTTTGCCTTGGGAAATATATTTTTGCCTAATATAACTGATTGTTTTTAATCATATCTGTTATATGTGTAGCGGGGTGAATTGCAGTCTGACTCATATGAGACGATAGATCAAAATCAAGTCATTTGCAACGCAGCACCTGATGCCGACCTCGAGCTCTGTCAGTATGCAAAAGAACAGATATGCTCAATTTTATGCACCTATTTACTATTTCATGCTGTGTTGTGTAGTATTTTATGTTGGATTTTGTTCTAGCAAAACTGATTTCAGCTCTCATACAGGAGCAGATTCTTCCTTGTTTTGGTAAAATTTGAGATTCTTAACCACGTTTGCCTACTGAAAAGAGATTGGAAACAGTTTTTTGATTCAGCAATGTGCTGTGTTGAAAGATACTTGTTAAACCCCTGTTCTTCCAGTAATGTCACTTACAGGGTAATACTGCGGGTTAAATGTGAAGCTCCTGCTGTTACTTCCAGTCCCTTTCAACAGTCCAAACTGGTTTTCCTCTGCTTAAGCAAAGTTTTGGTTGTTTGTTTTCATTCAATAACTAGAATTTAAGATTGAGTTGGAGCTCTAGTGCTGTGGTCCAGGGAATTTGTTTCTTTTCATACTGCAATCCAGCCAGTGTGGCTTGGTGTAATTGAAGAACCCAGATATGTCAAGGGGCAGAATTTGGAGGCTAAGTGTGCATTTCATACTTTTGCTGTGCCTGACAGTCATATTGCTCACTTTTTTGACAGATGATCTATACATGTGTGCAGTGAAATTCTTGTGACACTGGAGATTAATTTGTGGCCTTGCCGGTCTGGTCTGTACTGTAAAATTTACCATCTGTGAACATAAATTTTGCCCATTATGTTAGGTGGGTTGCCACTAAACATAGTTTAACCATAAAGATAGGTGAAATGGGCTATATTGCCATGCTTAAACTTTTTTATGGGCTACCTAGTTTAAAAAAAAAAAAAGGAAAAATGAAGCACAGCTTTGAGATTCCAGCAGGACTATTACATGCATCTGTGTCATAAATTTTCAGGCACTTTTTGTCTTTTGATGCACAGAAGATCTCTGTTACCTTCTTTACTGACAAACATAGGTGAAACATAGTAAATTAGGAAAGATGGAAATCATGACTAAAGAATGGGTAACGCCAACTTTTGCGCTATTTACTAAAGTCATCTCTGGATATACACAGAGAAGCTGTAAAAGAGACAGCAGAAAACAATTCTTGCTTAACTGGAAGGATGGAAATCTCATCCAATAGCGCTGGGAATGGCTTGCATTTCTTTTGTGGTGTATGTTATTATTTAACTCCATCTTGAGACTCAAAAGGGTGTATTTAAAAGAAAAATGGGAGTAATTTTGTACAGCAGGAAAACGTTTAATGGAATAAATGGACAATTGCCCTTGGTTATAGGAAAGAAACCAGGACACTCTCTTTATAAATGAATGGCATGGTTCTGTCCCGTTTTCCAAGTCTCCCCATTTAAACCGTCCATGAGGATGTGCTGGTAATGAAGGTTGAGCACTAATAGCAATTTGTCGAGTCACAGACAAAAAGTGGGTTTGTCGGCATTTGTTACACGTCCCTAACACGAACGACCCATCCTTCTTTTATGCCCGATCAGAATAGAAACGCAGACTGGAGATATTCCAGGAATAATAGTAAGGGGCTGAAACCAGGTAATGAATCCCATGCTAGAGAAATGAAAGCGGCTGTGGTCGGGATGCAGTCCTCTGTCTGGAGGGGAATGGCAGGACCGTGCAAAGAAACCTCGCTGTCGTTCAGTGCCTAGGCAACCTCAGGGAAAAATATTATCTGCTTCTCTCTGCCATGCTCCACATAGTGCAGGGCAAAGATTACTTTTTGATTTTTGGGTGAACCAGTACAAGGTGTAATACATGCCGGTTGGCTTTTACTGATTATTCTCACTAGGAAAAATGATATTAAGGATTTATATTAATAAACATATATCCATATGGAGGAGGTTATGTCGCCTGCTATGGAATAAAAATTGCACAGGCCATTAAAACTGACTTACAAGGCTTCTGCGTTAATAATGAAAGATCTGTAGAAGTCTGAGCAGTCGTCTAGAAGGCCAGAAAAAGATCATTAAGAGGATGTCTCCTGCCAATAGCTGCCAAGAGCAAACAAGGGAAAGAAAACAGAAGGGTTTAGATCTGGAAATGCATAGAAAATGAGAGCATGCAGACTGTGGGGAATGCAGCCTGGCTGTGTGTGAGGAGGAGGCTCCGTGTGGCCTTCATCACTTGTAACCAAGGTACTATGAATGGGGAAGCAGGGCAGGATTATTACTGGTGAGAGAAATAGATGATTAACTGAAGCATCATTTTAGGATGAAAATTCAGCAGAAGTGAAAGTGTTGAGAAAGGGAAAAAATATAGTTCGGAAATTAATCAGAAATGCTAGTTCAGATTTAGAAATAATTACAGAATTAGAGCATTACTGGTGTCTTGAGAATATTTGTTTTTTACTTGAAGATTTTAATAAACCCAGAATGA